CGATTCTGGAATACGGTTCGGTGGTTTGGAATCCTAGGTATCAAATTCATTCCGACAAGATAGAATGATCTCAAAACAATTCTAACTTTTTGCTTAAGAAATTTCCGTTGGGATTCTCAATATAACCTTCCGCCTTATACGAGCCGATTAAAACTTATTAATCTTCCTACACTTGTCANCAAGACACTTTTGTCCCCTATTTCTAATTTTGAATTGCACGACCCACTCCGTTGCTTATGCCAGGATTTTAACTCTCATTCCAGCACGTTTGATATATCAGATCCGCTTTTCAGTATTAAGAAAGCGGTACTCTCCTCTCTCAATAAATAAATTATTAATACAAAGACATAAAATCAGCTGATGAATTTAGTTCTGTAGCTGAACAGTTTTAGATCTCGTTTAGATCTAGTTTTTTAAAACTCCTGCCTATCGTGACTCGGCGCAAAAATTGAAAATATTGGTTCCGTACGTCATGCGGACTGCGCCCCTCGTGCGGATGAGCGGGAATTGAGGGTAAAAAACCGTTGGGATTATTTTTATTATTATTACATATGTACATATGTTTTTATGTTTGCACATAGAACATTTTTTTTATGAGTGATTGACATAATTGATATTTATCCAAATTTTTGCAGACTTTAGGTCGTCAAGACGGAGTAAAACAAGACTGGATNCTATTTTTATTATTATTACATATGTACATATGTTTTTATGTTTGCACATAGAAAATTTTTTTTATGAGTGATTGACATAATTGATATTTATCCAAATTTTTGCAGACTTTAGGTCGTCAAGACGGAGTAAAACAAGACTGGATTGTAGAGGACACAATTGGAAATTGGTGGCGCCCGAATTTTGAGCCCCCTCAGTATCCTTACATTCCGCCACATATCACCAAACCAAAGGAGCATAAGCGGCTGTTTTTGGTACAGTTACATGAAAAGGGTAAGAAAAATTATATATTTTTGTTTACATAAATGATATGCCTTGGAAGAACGTTTCTGTAATAAAATTGAATTAGCATTTCCATGCCTGGTTTTCAATAAACTCGACCCTATTAAGCTGGCATTTCAGGGTACTATTTTATATATATATAAGGAAAATTTGAAAGTTAGGGGGGGGGGNATGATATGCCTTGGAAGAACGTTTCTGTAATAAAATTGAATTAGCATTTCCATGCCTGGTTTTCAATAAACTCGACCCTATTAAGCTGGCATTTCAGGGTAGGGCCACCCGGCTACTCCCATGGTACTACATGTCAAGTATGACATACCGTCGCATCGTGGCTAGGCGAGTGTGCATACCAAATTCTAATTCTGCAGACATGTATGAAGAAAATTTAAATGTTTCAATTTTTCAGGTATGAACGTTTATAGTACACATTTAGGGGGGCGCTGGCATATAAAAAAAATCCCTGGAAAATTGTGTTTACAAATTTTAATGTAGTTGATTGATTAATCCTGATTAATACATATGTGTAATACCATGTTCTGGCCGACAACGAAAACACTCTGAAAACGTGTTTTGGGATTGTGGGCTGAAGGCTGTTCACACCGGCTGTTAGTGTTTTCGTTGACATTTCTTACATCCTCTGATTACAGTTTTGCTACACAAAAACAAAACCAAAATGCTTTTCCCTCATTTTCTTTTCATTAGCAACCTCTTACTTTCATTATTAATTTACTTTTGGCAGCCAATTAACAATAAATCCGAAATGGCGTATTATAGATGATAAAATATGACTTCCACTTCGATAAATAATCGAAGAAAACTAGTGAAGACACCGATTGGAATGAGTGGAACGTGAGTTTTCAAGTAGTTTTCAGCGAAAACTGGTTTTCGTTTGACAGATTTTATATGGACGAAAACACAAGTTTATGTCGAAAACCAGTTTTAGCAACGAAAACATGTTTTCGATGTCGGTCAGAACATGGTATAAACTAGATAGTTCATGTCAAGTATGACGTACCGTCGCATCGTGGATAGGCGAGTGTGCATACCAAATTCCAGTTCTGCAGACATGTATGAAGAAACTTTAAATTTTTCAATTCTTCTACTTGTTGCTACGACAGGTATGAACGTTTATAGTATACAATTATGGGCGTCGCTAGGGTCGAATTTAGGGGGGCGCTGGCATATAAAAAGAATCCCTCGAAAATTTTGTTTAAAAATTTTAATGTAGTTGATTGATTAATCCTTATTAATACATATGTGTAAACTAGATAGTTCCATTTGAAAAGACCATTTTAACTAATAGCCAAATATAAATTTAGTTTATAGTAAGTAGAGTGGAGTACTAAACCTACATTTTATTGACTTGAAGAAGAAGAATATTAAGGGCCGGTTGTTCAATGTCTGGTTATCACTACCACTACACTATCGACGATTTCGACATCATGCATGTAACATGTGATCGATAAAGCAGTAGTTGTGCTTAACCGGAGCTTCTACCTCCGATTTGTGCTAATCAGACATTGAACAACCGGCCCTAAGAGGAAATATGACTACTACTTTCTAACTACAAAAAACTGTGGAGCAGTCGTATAAAAAATGTATCACTTTGAAGTATATACATGCAAATCAGCATGAATGTGCAGATTTACCAATTTTGACTTATTGGGTTGACTTGATTACCCTTTGGGTGTTCTATGTGATACCAAAACCCAGAACTTTCAAACTTGCTTCCCCAAAATTTTAATTTCTACACATTCATGTTTCTGGTATGCGGGGGAGGATATGTACTTGCCGATTTGTTTTACAAAAATTATTTAAAAAGACGTCTCGGTTGCTCAGAAAACCGGTTAATCGTTTCTGCAATTATTTCACATTGATTCTTAAAACAAATTTTCGATGTATGCTTAAGATTAAGAAGATACCTAAAAGCAGATTTTATAAGAAATTAAACTGACGATTTATTAAAACTAGTAGTAACACCCTAAATTCGGGTGCATGCAGTAAAGAAATACTTACTAATATTTAGAATTTAAATTTAAGTATATAATAAAACGTGATGTTCATGAATATACTTGAGTATTTAGCTCAAGATTTATTTAAATAAGTGCGCGAAAGCCAACAATTAATATTGTATTGCTAGAGACCTGATAACCCAGGATAATTTTTAAGTTCTTAAAGGGCCTTACTCTACTCAAAGCTTCGTACAGTGGGCCGTGAAAAATTAGTAATCTTTAAGGTATAGTCCAACCTTTGACAATATCTGTCCAAGGGCTTTATTAGTCGTAATCTGAAATACAATAATACATAGTATCACGCTGTGAATACCCCTCCATCACTAAGGGTCTCCACAATTGGAATCTCATTTTTATATACTTACTAGCTTATACCCGCAGGTTTCACCCCACATTTTTATACAAATATGAAAAATAATTGAATGATGTTATATCTTATTTCTGTGCCCATTCTCTTATAGCTCTTTGTTTTTTAAGCGAGTTAAGGTATTTAGGCCGTTTAAAACTATAAACTAAAATCTTGTCTGCGCGCTAGGCATACGAAAAATATCAATCCCTCTAAGTTTACCTTAAAATGGTTCCAGAGATACGGCGCGTGAACGTGTAACCTTCTTGGAGGTGCCACGGCGGGTTCTAATATTTCCAACTCAAATTTAGTAACAGGCCCTGATAAAATACCACTTCTCATTACTGTAGCTAATGCCTCAAGAGGTATGTATGCATCATGAGAGCTTTAGATTATAAGGCCGAACCCGGTTCTCCTTTTCCCATTAAATGAAATTTTTTCTGTCAGTGCGGCACTTATAAAATAAATCTCTCATATCAAATGTAAAATACTTCCAGTTATGTTATATCCTTCCAGATATATGTATTAAGAAATTTTTAGTATGTATGGGAGGCGACATGCCTCCTTTTTTAATAACTC